CGTTTGAGCTGGAGGAGATGATCCTGGAGTCCCGTCCGCTGCACAGGAAGAAGAAACTCCTGGCCAAGAGCAGAAACCAATCCTCCAACCCACTGGTGCGTTCATCGCTCACACACACAAACACACACACACTCTCACACACTCACACACTCTCACACACACTCTCTCACACACGCACACACACTCTCACACACTCACACACTCTCACACACACTCTCTCACACACGCACACACACTCTCACACACTCACACACTCTCACACACACTCTCTCACACACGCACACACACTCTCACACACTCACACACTCTCACACACACTCTCTCACACACGCACACACACTCTCACACACTCACACACTCTCACACACACTCTCTCACACACGCACACACACTCTCACACACTCACACACTCTCACACACACTCTCTCACACACGCACACACACTCTCACACACTCACACACTCTCACACACACTCTCTCACACACGCACACACACTCTCACACACTCACACACTCTCACACACACTCTCTCACACACGCACACACACTCTCACACACTCACACACTCTCACACACACTCTCTCACACACGCACACACACTCTCACACACTCACACACTCTCACACACACTCTCTCACACACGCACACACACTCTCACACACTCACACACTCTCACACACACTCTCTCACACACGCACACACACTCTCACACACTCACACACTCTCACACACACTCTCTCACACACGCACACACACTCTCACACACTCACACACTCTCACACACACTCTCTCACACACGCACACACACTCTCACACACTCACACACTCTCACACACACTCTCTCACACACGCACACACACTCTCACACACTCACACACTCTCACACACACTCTCTCACACACGCACACACACTCTCACACACTCACACACTCTCACACACACTCTCTCACACACGCACACACACTCTCACACACTCACACACTCTCACACACACTCTCTCACACACGCACACACACTCTCACACACTCACACACTCTCACACACACTCTCTCACACACGCACACACACTCTCACACACTCACACACTCTCACACACACTCTCTCACACACGCACACACACTCTCACACACTCACACACTCTCACACACACTCTCTCACACACGCACACACACTCTCACACACTCACACACTCTCACACACACTCTCTCACACACGCACACACACTCTCACACACTCACACACTCTCACACACACTCTCTCACACACGCACACACACTCTCACACACTCACACACTCTCACACACACTCTCTCACACACGCACACACACTCTCACACACTCACACACTCTCACACACACTCTCTCACACACGCACACACACTCTCACACACTCACACACTCTCACACACACTCTCTCACACACGCACACACACTCTCACACACTCACACACTCTCACACACACTCTCTCACACACGCACACACACTCTCACACACTCACACACTCTCACACACACTCTCTCACACACGCACACACACTCTCACACACTCACACACTCTCACACACACTCTCTCACACACGCACACACACTCTCACACACTCACACACTCTCACACACACTCTCTCACACACGCACACACACTCTCACACACTCACACACTCTCACACACACTCTCTCACACACGCACACACACTCTCACACACTCACACACTCTCACACACACTCTCTCACACACGCACACACACTCTCACACACTCACACACTCTCACACACACTCTCTCACACACGCACACACACTCTCACACACTCACACACTCTCACACACACTCTCTCACACACGCACACACACTCTCACACACTCACACACTCTCACACACACTCTCTCACACACGCACACACACTCTCACACACTCACACACTCTCACACACACTCTCTCACACACGCACACACACTCTCACACACTCACACACTCTCACACACACTCTCTCACACACGCACACACACTCTCACACACTCACACACTCTCACACACACTCTCTCACACACGCACACACACTCTCACACACTCACACACTCTCACACACACACACTCTCTCTCTCTCTCACACACACTCACACACACTCACACACACACACCACCAAACCACAGCAGCCTGTGAGGAACAGACCGATTCACTCTTACCAGAAAATTCATGGCAGAAATGGTGATCTCTGATCCGGATTGACACTTGAATCACTTGTTCAAGTTCACAAAACCACTTCATGCCAAGAGAAGTCAGCTTTATTTCTGTAGGGCTTTATAAATACAGATCGTTTCAAAGCAGCTTCACGGTAATAAACGGAAAGAAAAACTCTTCAAAGATTTAGTCATATAAACAATTTAAACATCAGTTTCACCTGTGAAGCAGCTCTACAGAAGACTGTAAACACGGTAATGTACGATCGTCTCTAGAGCTGCTTGAGTCCACATCTACATCTCAGCTTTTGTGAAGATACATTGAAGACTTAAAGACCTTTTTAAGACCAAGCTTAAGGAACACAATGAGCATTAGCAAGACTTCTAACCAATCTCCACTAGATTTTAAAGCATTTTACAAAAAAATAGCTTACGGCTTGAATATCTGATAAACACTAGAATATGGAATTTTTTTTAATGAACCTTCTGATCACACTGCAAAAAACGATGCACTTCATTTCATATCACTCAGTTTTTCTGTCTTGTTTTCCAGTGCAAATGTTTAAAGATTCTTAAATCAAGATAACATTTACTAGAGAAGAAAAATGACAGAAGATATGAAGTCTAAACTGATAAAAATGAAGTGAGTTTCTGTTTAAAACAAAAACAAATATCTGCCTATGGGCTTAAAAACTACTTAATTGAAAAGAAAAGCAAGTGTTCATTCCTCATTGGTAGGTATTTTTTCTTCTAACACTTAATTTTGTTTAATTTCTCAAAAAAACAAGACTTTCGATCTTCATTCAGTGTATCCTGATTTAAGAATCGACAAAAATACTGAAGAAGATTCATTTTTTGCAGTGCATGCAACATTTATTGCCATGACTCTGATTTAATTTGTAAAAGTGTGAGTTTAGATCCGCAGAAACCCTGCACTGTAATCATGTTCAATTATCATCTGGAGCCGGTCACAGAACACAGAACATGATCAGTGAATAATGATTTAAATCACAGATCATCCTCAGACCGGAGAAAGAGGCAGAGAGGCGCGAGGGCCAGTGAATGATTATTTTGAGTATTTTAAGATGTCATTACCTTGAATCTGATGGTCTTATTATTAAAACATCAGTTTGAAGTATGAAATCTGTCTGTTTCTCAGCCGACGCACATGCAGAGCAGTTTAGACTCGCTGGCAGAAGATTTTATCGCCTTCAACAGAGAAAAGTACGTCAGACGTTCCCCACGTTTGTCTGAATTAAAGTATTGATCAGTTTGTAACTGATGTAATCTTTGTTAAATAAATGTGAACAATCATAGCAGCGCAAATCTCTCTGTCTGTCAGGATGAAGCAGCAGCGTTTGGTTTCTGACGAACCAGCTGCAAATAAACGCCGTGATGAACAAAACAACAACATGATGAAGATGAAGATGAAGACGCACAGTCTTTGTTAAAAATAAATGTGAACAATCATAGCAGCGCAAATCTCTCTGTCTGTCAGGATGAAGCAGCAGCGTTTGGTTTCTGACGAACCAGCTGCAAATAAACGCCGTGATGAACAAAACAACAACATGATGAAGATGAAGATGAAGACGCACAGCAGCTCTGAGCTTCACTGAACAAACATTCACTCATTTTCAGAGTTCAGATCAAATGATATTTCTCAAACCTTTTAAATACATGATCTCTTCACAGAGGCTGATCCTGAGGTTTCTGTAGTTCATATAAAACACAGAGTCTAACAGCAGAAGACGCATCCAAGTGTCAGAAATAAAACAGTTTTAATTCATTTCATGTCCCTTTTTTTTTTAATTATCATGGCTGATTAAAATAAAAAGGTTGATTATTAAAAAGGAGTGTAAACATGAAGCTGCAGGTCAAAGGTCTTTTTGTGTTTGTTGCATCAGTCGATCATCTGACAGAAGGAAAAACACATCTGGATGATGTCATTGGACGGCTGAACGCCCCCAACCAATCAGCTCTCGGCAGACCCGCCCGTGATAAAAGAACAATAGATACACAAGACTCATAATTACATTCCCATGATGCTTTGCAATGTAGTGTCACATGTTTGGCTGGGGAGCCACACTGCTCTTCTTGAAGTTCAGGAAGTTGCGTTTCTTCTTGCGTGAGCGAGATGTTTGCGTGTGCTGCTGGGCGGCAGGAGGAACACAGCGGAAAACAAACAGCCGCTCCGCAGAGATGAGACTGTCTTGAGCCACGCCCACAGGCCACGCCCCCTCAACCGCAGCCACGCCTTCGGGACACACCCCTTCACTAACATCCCTCATAGAGAGGAGACTGTCCTGAGCCACGCCCACAGACCACGCCCCCTCGACTGCAGCCACGCCCTCGGGACACACACCCTCACCGCCCCTCGTCTCAGGCCCCGCCTCCGTCTCCTCAGAAGGTTCTGGCACAGGAAGATCTGGTCTGCGGCGGCGTCTCGGCTGAGTCTCCTCAGCATCTCCAGAACCTCCAGCTCCGGACAACAGCTTGTCGAGGCGCTTCTGACGCTTCTTGAGGAACCTGAGGAACACACACACACACGCTCAACACACGCAGAGCCGATCGGCCCTATACGCTCACTACGCAAGTAACGTAGGGCCCCCGTAAATTACGCAAGGCCTCGCCTCCCCCTCGTGTCAAAGCGGCGCGGCACTTTCAATCTGCTGCAGAGATGAGGAAAAATAGGAAAAAAGTGGTAAGTGATGGATTTTATAAAGCTGATGTTGAAATGGTGGCTGCTGCATTGTGATCGAGGGGAATTCAAAAGACCAGAATAATTCCAGATACCTTATTATCTGAACCGTTTAGGTTTTTAGAACATATATTAGCTTATGTATATATTTATATTAGCGACCAGTTAAACTAAACTCGGTCTGATTTTCACATTGATCTGGGGGGGAGGTGGCACTGAACCGCAGAAATACAGAGGAAGTCAAAACAGTATTTACATGTTTGTTTGCACATAAATATTTTTACAAGCCAATCTAGAAAAGAGATTATTATGAGCAATAATAATTAATAATAATAATTCAAATACTAATTTTCATATCCCATTGGCAGATGTTTTTGCTTTATTAAAGCATTAATCTTAAATTTGTATATATTTCTCTGAAAGTAATGGTCAAACGTTTAAAATTTAACAAAAAAATTGTATATAATATGAAATATGGGCTTATCTTCATATTTATATCATGAAAGATAAATAAGACAATTTTCTAAAAATGTACCATGCGGTGTCGATATGTGTGTTGGAGGCTGGGAGGTGGTGCTCAGGTGAAACCGTAGGTAGTGGGGGCACCTTTTGAAAATCTGCTTAGGGCCCCCAAAACGCTAGGATCGGCTCTGAACACACGGCATGATGGGAGTGATCCGTGACAGCTGGATGAAGCGTGTGTGAGAATGTGTGTTTGCTGAGATGTTCTCAGTGTTTCTTCTTGTAGTCAGTGTCAGTCTGCAGAACACAGACGCTTTAATGCCTCTAACACTGGTTTGTGTTTCTAATCGTGATCAGACTGACCTGTCTCTGTCTCTGTGCTGAAGAGCGTCAGACAGATTTCTGCTCAGCACATCGTGTCTCAGTCTGTCTGCCAGAGACGAGCAGCTTCCGGATTCCCTACGGGTCAAAAACAACAGTAATCATGAGCAAAACTCATCAAATATGAGACGCACTCAGTTTCAGCCGAAAGCAGCTCTATGATTCAGTTCAGACACAGATCCATTTCAGACACACACCTGTTTGTGTTCCGTGTGTGTGTGTGTGTGTGTGTGTGTGCGCATGTTACCCGACTCCGGGTCCTAGTGCGTCTACGAGTGACAGCAGTTCTCCTTCAGGTACTGTAGGAAGCAGGAGCCGCAGGACTTTGTGGAGATCAGGAACAGACATCAGAGACTGTTTGACCAACGCTGCTGTAAACTCCAGATCCTGAAACACACACACACACACACACACACACAGATGTAATAAAAACAAACTCAAAAACAAAACAAAATCAAACCAAAACAAGCCATAAATGAACCTAAAAAAAACAACTATTCAAAACAGTATTTTTAAAAATACTGTACAAGGCTTAAAACAGATGTAACACACGCACACACACACAGAGAGACACACACAGATGTAACACACACACAGAGAGACACACACACACAGATGTAACACACACACACACACAGAGAGACACACACACACAGAAATGCACAGATGAAATGTATAAAGGACTAAAGCACTCTTAATGAAATGGTTACATAAAAGTCAATATTTAAATGTATAATGAATTATATACCATGAAAACAGCATATTAAAATTTTTCATAACATTAAATTTCACAAAACTACTATTGTGTCAATACTGTGTTCCATATGAACAAATACTGCATCCCTAATTTGAAAATGAGAAAAAAAATGCTGTGAAAATAAGTGGACTTGGAATTGATTTATTGATTTAATTATTAACCATTTAATTATTCAGATAATTGGCATGTTTAATTTTCCTCCGGAGGTCGCATTTGTAGGCTGCGTACGTCATCAAAGATGTCTTATTTTAGAAAAGTAACCGCACACAGAGACACACACAGATGTAACACACACACACACACACACAGAGAGAGACACACACAGATGTAACACACACACACACACAGATGTAACACACACACACACACAGGTTAAACATGTTTGTATGAAATGCACAGATGAAATGTATAAAGGACTAAAGCACTCTTAATGAAATGGTTACATAAAAGTCAATATTTAAATGTATAATGAATTATATACCATGAAAACAGCATATTAAAATTTTTCATAACATTAAATTTCACAAAACTACTATTGTGTCAATACTGTGTTCCATATGAACAAATACTGCATCCCTAATTTGAAAATGAGAAAAAAAATGCTGTGAAAATAAGTGGACTTGGAATTGATTTATTGATTTAATTATTAACCATTTAATTATTCAGATAATTGGCATGTTTAATTTTCCTCCGGAGGTCGCATTTGTAGGCTGCGTACGTCATCAAAGATGTCTTATTTTAGAAAAGTAACCGTAATAAACACACACACTGATAGTACTTGTGAGGTGTAAAATAATGTAATTTCTTTTTTACTTTGCAATTTAACACTTTACTTAAATGAGATTAAACCTATGCTCTCAATATCAAATGCAGAAACGTTAATTCATGACCTCAAGGTTAGATTATTGTAATGCTTTCCCCTGTAAAGACCTTGTCTCAGCGACCACCGGGACAAGACCACAGGAAACCAGATGATTCCTCTGCACAATCTGACTTTGCTGCGGCCTGGAACTGAACTGCTGGTATCATCTGGCCAGAGGAGAACGGCACACTGTTTCCCTGTTTAATACTGTAAAGCTGCTTTGACACAATCGGCATTGTAAAAAGCGCTGTATAAATAACGGTGACTTGACTTGATCCCGATTATGCATGCAGCCTCTGAAATGAGACGCAGCTATAGAGTTGAGCAGAAGCATCATGTGACTGACTGACATCCATGATGAGATAGTCACAATAATCCAAAATAATTAATCAAGTCCATGAGAGTTCATGATGCAGAGCTGAAAACAGATGAACAAAAGAGACAGACGGCTGACCTGCTCACAGTACGTCTGCAGTCTCTTCAGCTGAAGTTGATCTTTCTGATGCTCTAGTGTCTGATTCCTCCGCAGCACTCTGAGACACACAAACAGACACACTCACACACACACACACACACAGACACACAAACAGACACACTCACACAAACAAACAGACACTCACACACACTCACACAAACAAACAGACACTCACACACACTCACACAAACAAACAGACACACACACACACACACACACACACACACGGTCGGTATCTCCATATGAACTTACACATGATGATGATGATGAAGAAGAGTGTGTCTGCACCTCATGGTTTGTTTACAGCTGATATTAAGATCTGTCTGTGTAAACGGGATCTCAGTCTAGCAGTTAGTATTACTACTTAATCTAGTAATCTACACTTTTATTAAACTGACTTCATGAGGACACGAGCAGTCTTGAAGAAAAAAACAGAAAAGCAGCTTATAATGCTAGTCTCAGTAGTTTATGCAGCGTGTGACACTGATGAACAGCAGTGACTCCGCCCACTCAGCTGTCAATCATCCACTGTCAGGGACCGTGACATGTTGATAGTCCAGAGCTATTAATAGTGATTCGTCTGTCAATCCTCCTGACAGACGGAGATTTTTACCGTGTGTTTGCCCTGAGCGACATGAGTGTGTGTCATTCGCTTGTATGCTGAATTAGATTTAAAACTACGGCTGCACCAAACTCTACACAACCCGCTTTCCAAGATTAATAATGAATTTTACAACAGATGAATTAATCTAAAGTAACAGAGTCAGATCAGCTGAGACGGATGTTAACAGCAGGTGTGAACCGGGCAACACACACACACAGATAATCAGTATAATGGTGAGCCGCACCTGTCAATCAAAGGCTGCCTCCTGAAGAGCGCCTCCTGCAGGACAGCAGTGACTCCACCGTCCACCATAAACACATCCTCCTCTTCATCATCATCATCATCATCTGAGCTCGAACAGCCCCGCCCATCCACAGACTCCTCCCACTTCAGCGCCTCCTGTTGAAGCCGGAGCTCCGCCTCCTCAAGAGCCTCGACAGAGACAGAGATTGTTTCACGACACTCGACAGGAGAAAGATCCTAAAAGACTATAAAGGCTAAACAGGTTATTTTATGTGAATAAAAGCCTAAATTAAATCTGTTCATCATGTAAAGCAATCTTCAAAGATTTGAATTAAAGAGCTTGATTCGTGAGGATTAGTTTTACGTTGCTTTTATGATCTTCGTGGATATTTTTGGTTACTTGGACTGGTGGAAGGACAGAATCCGCTCAGGTTTCATTAAAATATCTTCATTTGAGTTTAAATATGAACTAAAGTCTTATGGGTTTGGAACGACATGAGGGCGAGTAAATGATGACAGAAAGATCATTTCTGCGTGAACTAACCAGTTAACCACTCATGAAGCTCCTTGACTAACTCACCCGCATCAATCTGGATGAGATTCTGCATTTTAGTAGAATATAAATCTCTGTTCTGCTGTATTATAGCACTTTAAAAACTACTAAAACACAACTAAACAACCCACAGAAGATAAAACAGCACAAACATTGATGTGCAGGACGGGATAGAGTGTGTGTGTGTGTTTGAGTGTGTGTGTTTGAGTGTGTGTGTTTGAGTGAGTGTGTGTGTGTTTGAGTGTGTGTGTGTTTGAGTGTGTGTGTGTTTGAGTGTGTGTGTGTTTGAGTGTGTGTGTGTTTGAGTGTGTGTGTGTGTGTAGGAATCCCTCAGGTTGAGTGCGTGTAGAGAGTAACACCTCTCCTGCTGTTGGTGCGAGCGAGTGGTCAGTCACGTGTGTGTAGGACGGCCGAACTTAAGGAGCTGCCCCTGGAACTTACACGATCAGCAACCGGCTGTTTTTTGTTTTATTGAAGCTCGTCTCTGTTCTGGACTTGCACAAACTGTGTTGCAATGCAATCGTTTTCCAAAATGTAATTTACACACAGAGAGAGAGACACACACACACACACACACACACACAGAAAGAGAGAGAGAGAGACACAGACACTCACACACACACAGAGAGAGACACACACACACACACACACAGGTGTTTCACTCTTGCTCTGAGTGTGTGCTGGTCATGTGATCGGTGTGATGGTGGGCTCTCACCCGCTGCGGCGCGTCGCTCTGCGTGTCGCTCTTCTGCAGTCGCTCCTGTAGACACCTCTGGAAACACTGCAGCTCTGTGACCTCTGATCTCTGCAGGTGCAGATCAGGCATTAGACACACACACACACACGAGCGGCTCACTGCTCAGCAGTCTCGTACAGCGCTCACCTCCGTCTCCTCGTCTGCAGGGGTCACGGCGGGGTCACTGGGGTCAGCGTCGTGCCGTTTGAGCTCACAGACGGCGTGTGGAAGAGCGAGACAGCGATCCAGACGACACGCAGCCTTCACACACTCCAGCTGCAGACGCAGACGCTGCTCACGCGAGAGAGAGCGCAGACACGCACACACACAGCTGACACACACACACACACACACACACGTCTCAGGTCACATGGTCAAATATATTTATTCTGCCTTCCTTAGATTCTACACAACATAACGAGACTCACCGCTCAACGAGGACGACAGCAGATTCTGTATGCGTGCTAAACTAGACTGATTTAACACTCAGATGAACTTAACTGCGTCCCGTCCAGGGTTACTATAGTAAACTATAGCCATAAACTACTGTTTGTTATAAACCTTAACTGTAATAAAATAGTTATTTACCTACTTTCAACTTTACCTAATTTCATTAAGTCCATCTACTAAAATAACTAAAACTGAAATAAAAATTACTAAAAAATTCTATAGACATTAAAAGAAAAAACGACAAAATGACAAAAACACAACAAAATAACTCGTTTGAATGAAATTGAATAATTAAAATGAAAACAAAGTAAAAAATAAATTCTAACTATTAATAAAAACTATAATAATCTCTCAATGAAACAAAATAAAACTGATCCCTAACCCCAAGATTTATACAACATTTTACTCCTAAAACATGGTGCAAATGTGTTTGTTTTCCATCTGTTGACAGTGTTTTCTGATTTATGGAGCGATGAAAAGAGAAATCCAGAATCCTCTCTGAAAAAACCTTCAACTCTAATATAAGAACAAAATCAGACCAGAATTATGAACCTGACTTTATCCAGTTATCAGATTTATGTGCTGGAACTGAATGCAAATCTGTGCATATTTAATTAGATAATACCTAATTTGTGAACTTAAACACGACATTTCAGAAAATTTGTAAAACAAAAAAAATTGTCTAAATGTACTGTGATTATTCAAATGGGGAAGTATGATATTGATTAGTTACAAATATTTACCTTGTTCACCTTAAACTTTATGACTGTTTAAAAACGGCTGTGTGTTAATTGAATATGCATGTACACACCAAACCGCAGTCTGCAGAAACACAAAGACATTCACTACTGGATCTTTCTAGCTTGATTGTGTGTTTAACTGTATGTTCTCAGTCTAGTTTTAGGACTCAGATGAAGGTCTGATCTCAAAATCAATCCGAAACAGCAACAGCCTCAAGGCTTCACACACATTCTCATGCAGCACGTCACCTGCAGTATTCTCTGAAGGCGTCTCTGATGCTCCGCTGCTCCTGAAGCTCCTGCTGCTGCTGCTGTCGGATGCAGCTCTGAGCGGATCGCAGCTCGCGAGCCGCTGCTTTCCCCAGACGCTGCAGATGCTCCTGAATCTCCTCCATCTGCGGCAGCAACTGCGCAGATCCTGGACACCACGCAGACGCATGCGCCTTCAGCTCCGCTAGTGAACTCTGCAGCAAACACAGACTCATCTGCACACAGAAGCACAGGAGTTACACCACAGACACCAACAGACACGCCTGCAGCTCGCTCGTATCCCACAGTACCTTGCGTGTCCTGCCTGCCGTCTCTTCGTCCAGGTGATTGATGAGTTCTGATAGTTCATTGCTCTGGTACATCAGTATTTCTGTCCATCTCTGCAGGTACTGATCCACCGTGACGTCAGAGGAAGCGCTCACAGCCTGCAGCTGATGCCAGTGTTCACACACCTGCTCCAGCGAGAATTACACTGATCACAGTCATAGACCCCCAAATCATCAACATGATCAAACTTCACTGTTAAACCTGTTTCTCACTCAATCTCATCATGTCTTCTGTCTCTGATTGATAGTTTAGAGTGTTTTATCCAGTCAAAGCTCTTTTAGTGTAATTACGCAAATGTCCAGCTTCAGCTGGAGCTTCTCGTGTCAAATCTTGACTGGTTTTTATCAAGTAAGCGTCAGAATAACTGCAGTAATATCTCCAGATGAACACTTACTGGACTGAAGCAGCTCAGCTTTACTTGATTCTCCATCAATCATGTTTTAGAGTCTCAAATCTGATCCTCAGGATCTTTTGAGGAGCGTTTGTTTCCAGAAGCTTTACTTTCACTGTTCCTCAGCGGAGGAATGATCTTCACAAGCCTCCAGAACATCTCACATCTTCTGAGGAGCCTTTATTTCTTCAGCTCTCAATCACTGCATTATATGTTTGGAACATTTCAATCTCATCTTACTGAGATTACTGGACATATAGAGACAACTGATATTTAGATCATTTTATGTCAGTATCTGCTGCACTGTTATAAAGATCTCACTGATTTACAGTACCAGCAGCAGAATTTCATCTTAATCTTTGTCTA